ATCTATCTATCTATCTATCTATCTATCTATCTATCTATCTATCTATCTATCTATCTATCTATCTATTTGTTTAGAGCTTCAGAACTTCATTACCCATCATCTCTCACTCCTGATGCGCGTTCAGTTAGGGGGCGGAGCTTCAGGGCTCCTGTGGAGGTGGTGAGAAAGCGGACAAGTGCGGACAAAATCCAACTGGCAACTAGACGCCGCGATTTTCAATTGGGGACTTTCGCATGTGATGGAATTAAACGAGAAATCCCGGCCGGAGCAGTTGTGCCGCTGACCACACCGCCAGTGTTTTATTCCCGACACGGTCTCCTTCTGAAGAAGGTAAAGTTCAGCTGAACTCTTGCTGTTACTGTACTGCGAGAAGAGACATCAGCGTCAGGCAGTGGATGTATGACTGATGCATCCATCAGTGAGAGCAGAACGGAAGTTTGACAGCGTGTTACAGTGTATCAATAAAGGCGTTCGATGCGCGTTTGGAGGTTGTCGCGGTAATATTGCAACATTTTTAGAATGTTTCCATATGTAACAGTGTCGAGTGCTGCTGGAGGAGGCAAGTGGACCGCACAAGATATCCACAAGATAGTGGATACAGTCATTATTCTACCGTCGGGTTTAGAGTATTAGTGTTCATGGTGTGTCTGGATTGGAGTTTATGGAATAAAGCGGTTAGTTTGGTAAAAAACGAATGCACTGTTCAGTTCGAGGCTGGTGAATTCTGATTGGCTGTTTATTATCACCTGTCGAATTAAGCTTTTAGGTTTGATCTCAGCGTCAAAGGTGATGTCTCAGCTGTGTATGTCTGTGTAGAAATAATTTTCTACACATAAAAACTATAGTTTGATAAGTTCGGCCTCCACATTTAAAACCCCACACAGTAAAAAGAAGCGATTCAGTGTTTCAGGGACAGCACTCATGCATCTGTCATTCCAGCTTCTTTAACAGGCCACATACTGTTTACCTTTTTAATGTGGAGCTTGTATAAAGTTTTAAAAGATTTCCAAGATTCCCAAATACCATGCTTTACAGTTGACAGGGAAATTATATCTTTCCAAGGACTATGTATGGCAGAAACAGCTGGAACAAATCAATTTGGCCAGTGCACTGCGTTTCGTCTTTCTTGTTTTTAGAGCAAGCATTCTTGTATAAACTTGAGAATGGGTTAGTTTTGATTAGCTGTCCATCATGCAATTATTCACCCTGTTTACTAGTCCACTATAAATATGTGGTATTTGACAATATAAACTGACTTATAGTGAGGTGTTTGTCAGTTTGGAAAATATGGAGAATTGTTTCAGGTTTTCCTGTGATTTGCTGTTCATTTGGGCAATTATTGTTATAGTGGGTGTGTAATGCATTATTATTGCTCCTGCACAGATGTCATTGCAGACTATCAACTTTATTTCGGTCACTAAGTAAGGGATAATGTACAGTCAGGCAGTCATTATCACAAAATACACTCCAACAGGGTTTTTATAGCTTATTTGATCTTATCATGTAGCTAAATAAACAACTGGATATTAAATATTGATCAGAGTATTATTTTATTCATGTAGAGATGCAGAAGAACTGATCATGAACATAAAAAAACAGGTTTCAGTGTTGCCTTGTGGTACAGTAATTTTGACCGCTTAATGTCATGAATGACCAATCAGAATTCCAGAAAGATGTGTAATAAAATAAAGTAAACATCTGCATTATTCACTTGGGTTATATTTGAATTTCAAACAGAGCATGAGGGCATGATGTGGTTTATCAATGGAGATTTCACAGGTAGAGCATGTTTACTGTTCAAATAATAATTAGGTATTTTTGAACAAATAAATGCAGCCTTGATGAGCAGAAGAGACTCCATAAAAAAAATATGAAAAATCTTACTGATCCCAAACTTTTTAATGGCAGTGTATATTAAAAATATATTAAAATATAAAATAATTATATATATATACGTCAAAGGTGATGTCTCAGCTGTGTATGTCTGTGTAGAAATAATTTTCTACACATAAAAACTATAGTTTGATAAGTTCGGCCTCCACATTTAAAACCCCACACAGTAAAAAGAAGCGATTCAGTGTTTCAGGGACAGCACTCATGCATCTGTCATTCCAGCTTCTTTAACAGGCCACATACTGTTTACCTTTTTAATGTGGAGCTTGTATAAAGTTTTAAAAGATTTCCAAGATTCCCAAATACCATGCTTTACAGTTGACAGGGAAATTATATCTTTCCAAGGACTATGTATGGCAGAAACAGCTGGAACAAATCAATTTGGCCAGTGCACTGCGTTTCGTCTTTCTTGTTTTTAGAGCAAGCATTCTTGTATAAACTTGAGAATGGGTTAGTTTTGATTAGCTGTCCATCATGCAATTATTCACCCTGTTTACTAGTCCACTATAAATATGTGGTATTTGACAATATAAACTGACTTATAGTGAGGTGTTTGTCAGTTTGGAAAATATGGAGAATTGTTTCAGGTTTTCCTGTGATTTGCTGTTCATTTGGGCAATTATTGTTATAGTGGGTGTGTAATGCATTATTATTGCTCCTGCACAGATGTCATTGCAGACTATCAACTTTATTTCGGTCACTAAGTAAGGGATAATGTACAGTCAGGCAGTCATTATCACAAAATACACTCCAACAGGGTTTTTATAGCTTATTTGATCTTATCATGTAGCTAAATAAACAACTGGATATTAAATATTGATCAGAGTATTATTTTATTCATGTAGAGATGCAGAAGAACTGATCATGAACATAAAAAAACAGGTTTCAGTGTTGCCTTGTGGTACAGTAATTTTGACCGCTTAATGTCATGAATGACCAATCAGAATTCCAGAAAGATGTGTAATAAAATAAAGTAAACATCTGCATTATTCACTTGGGTTATATTTGAATTTCAAACAGAGCATGAGGGCATGATGTGGTTTATCAATGGAGATTTCACAGGTAGAGCATGTTTACTGTTCAAATAATAATTAGTCTTTAGTCTTTATAATCACACAAAGAAAACAAAGTTCCATTCTTTTTTTCCAATAGCGCATAAACTGTCAGTTAAGATAAAGGCAGGCGCTGTCAGCACTCTTATTTATTTGTATTACACTGATATATATTGAGCATGTGTGCAGCCTGTTCCTTATTGATGTTCTCTGGTGTCGTCTGTCATTGATTGAACTGTAGGCTTCATCTCCAGCCGATTGTAGCATTGACTCACAGAAGAGAAATGTTCAGTGGATTAGCTGCGAATGAATACATATGAAAGGATCTGAGTGCATAATGCTCATTATTAGTTCATTTGTTCTGTTGCTTGTGCTAAATTATCTATTAGCCTAAACATAAAGTGATACATAGGCCTATTACTAATATTTTCAGTGCCCCCACAAAATAAATATAAATTTTTTATCATTTAATTGCACAAGTGTAAATTTACTGTTATTATTTCTCCTTTTATATTACAAATTTATTATCTATATTTTGATTAATACTTTTTTGTAAAAAAAAAAAAATGTAATGTACTAAAATAAATAAAAAATGTTAAATTATATGAATAATCATAAATGAAATGATAATAAATTAATAAAGCATTTCTGCTAGAAAATAAAAATATGGTGTTTTTTTCTGTCATTTTCAATCAATTCTGTTAGATGCTTTGTTATAGTTTATGCTTTATTTCTTATAGCATATTTCAGTATTATAATCAGTGCATCATTAAAATATAAAAGAAAGTATAATATTTCATTTAGCAATGAATGCAACAATAACAATACATAGAAAACCACATCTTTAAGTTGCATTGCATAAAACATATGTTCAAGAAACATAAACGGTTGTGGTAACAGTACTGGTCATATAGGACAACTGACATTTGTCATTTGACCTGAAATCTCATGCTGGCCCTGAACCCTCCTTGTTGAGACCCTCAACAGGTCAGATGTCACATACTTGTCCATGAACAATACTGTGATTTAACAGCTATTTTAGTTGAACCAAGGTGCTGCAGCCCGTTAGAAAGACACACGCAATACATTTCAAAGAATCAACAAAAGTAGTATATAAGTGTCTTTTCAGCACATAGCACAGCTGTATTTTCTAGAGCGTTTCTCATTATCCACCCATACAGCAGAAGGACCTTGAATTCCTGTCAAAAACTAGGCCATCTCAAAATGGCAAATTCTCATTTTCTCGAATCCATCCCCATGGTCCTCTCGCTATTATTGTCTCGCTATCTCCACATCTGATGGTAACCTACATATAATGTCTAAATAAGATGAATAAAGGACATAAATGTATTATGCTGATTTTATTGCTCCTTTAATCTGTTTGTTATCTTGTTTGCAGGCACACCGCAAAGTGGAGCAAAATGTCAGACAAAATGTCCAGTTTCCTCCACATCGGGGACATCTGCTCCCTGTATGCGGAGGGATCCACCAATGGATTTATCAGCACTTTAGGGTAAGATAGCCATCCACATGTCATCACCCAGTGTGTGGACATCAGTGTTGTACATAAGAGGAACTTGATGAAAATATAGGAGCACAAGAGGAAGAAGAAAATGAATGTACAACACTCAGAAATGAGAAGTAACTGAGAAATGTTTTGTGCAGTATGTATTACAGTGTGGATTTCTGATGCATTTTCAGTGGGTTATGATGAATGCCGGTTACTAGAGCATTGCTGGGTGGTCAAAAGTCTCTGTTCTGGTTCTTAAAATTCAGATTGGGATATGGGAAGCGTTTTCTCCTTCCTAAAAGTTGAGATGAAACAGAAGTAGCGACAGATCTTTTCTGCATTGTGAATGATGAACATCCAAGTGTAACAGATTATGGAAAAATAAAAAAATGTATGGTGGAGACTTGGTTCACTTCATCAGATGTTGATTGGATTTTGAGGTGTGGGCATTGAGCTTAAAAAGTGGAGGCAGATCAGTCTGAAGGGACGGGTGTAAGCGCACTAAATGATTGGAGAAGTTCTGCATATGTCACCAGAGAGAAATCGGTTGTTTCACTGGACGATCCAGTTATGATATTTTAATTAAACGATAGATAGGTAGGCACTTTAAAAAAAGGTCCCTTTAGTCCACATTAACTGACAGTGCATGGATTAACTAACATTAACTGACAATGACCAATAGATTTGTTACAGTGTTTATTGATCTTTGTTAGCATCAATCAAAAAACTTCAACTGTTTAGTGTAAGTTCATGTTAGCTCAGGTCTATTAAATATTAACAGACACAGCTTTTAAAAATGTTGAAATTAATATTATTAAATAATTTTGTATTGTTAGTTTGTTAACTAATGTAGTTAGTATCTAAAAACTGATGTTCACAAATGGAAACTTATTGTCCCCTTATTGACCATGTCATCCAATTTGTTCATGTCTTTCTTTCTTCAGTCGCACAACAAATTAAGGTTTTTGAGGATTTTTCCCCCATATTCTGGACTTCAATGGGACCCAATGGGTTGAAGGTCCAAATTGTGGTTTCAATGCAGCTTCAAAGGGGTCTACACAATCCCAGCCAAGGAATAAGGGTCTTATCTAGCGAAACAAGCGGCCATTTAAAAAATAATTATATATTTTTTTACCACAAATGCTCATTATGCACCAGCTCGAACCTCACGCATTACGTAATCACATTGGAATAAAGTGACGTATGCAGAAGTACCGACCCTGTGTTTACAAAACGAACGTGCAAAGAAAGTGAAAAAATGACAAAAAAGGGTAAAACAACGATGTCAGACGAAAAAGGGTAAAACAACGATGTCGGACAATTTTGAAGTTGTAGGAGAAAATCAGATGGAGCTCGGTACTACCTCTTCCTACAACCTTTCCAACATGAATACGTAATATCGCACACGCGCATCGCAGAGCTAGTGCAATACGAGCATTTGAGGTTAGATAAGACCCTTATTCCTCAGACTCGGACTCAACTTTATTGTCCCGTTAGGGAAACTAAGATTGTAGTGTACAGTTCCAATACACTAACCATATCCATGCACACATAACCATTACACCCATAAAAGCATACAATGTAAACATACAATTTCCCAAACATACATTAAAATTCAACCAGGCACTACTTAAGTTCGTAAATTTTGGATACCAAATACATTCTCCTCCCCACCAGACTTGGTCAATAACTTAATGGCCACAGTAACAAATTAATCTTTAATTCTTTTCGTCCAATATACGGGAACTCTAAAACGACGGCCTGATGGCAGCATCTGAAACTCAGTATGTAGTGGGTGGTCAGTAGCACAGAGAATGACCTGGGCTTTCTTAACAACATCATTTTGGAAAATTTCAGTAGGCCCAGTTTGATTCCTCGGCTGGGATTGTGCAATTATCAGTACATTTTTATTCTGGAAGTGAACTAATCCTTTAAATCTATATTTTTTTTGCTATGCTAATTGCGCACAATTTAGGATCAGTCACGTTACTGAAATGTCTGCAAAAGTTTTCAGGCCAAAAAAGTCCTATGTCAGTAGTTTTGTGATGTACTGTATGAAGCACAGCTCACACAGAAGTCCCTTTCAAACCAAGCAGCTTTCTATTGGTCAACACAGTGAATGCACATAACCAACTTCTGCATCTGCATGGAGAACTTTTTTTGTCCTTGCTCAAAACACAGTTCATGCAGACTCCTATTAAAATAATGTGATTTTACCTGTAAAATTTTGCTAAATGTAATGCCATTTTAATACTTCTATATAGCATTATATTTCCTCCACTGGAAAAATGACCTGTATGCAACCCAACAGTTTCATCAATTAGAGATATTAATATTAATACTGGACAAAATGTTGTTTAGAATGACAGATAGTTGACGGTAGGTGTGGTCTCCTCCGTTTACGTTTCTGTATTCTGATCCTGCACTTGAAGGAAAGGGAGCCAAGTCTCAACGCTGCCCTCCTCACGTCCTTCCTCTGGAAATGAGATTGTGCTGGCAATCAGCCCCCTTTGCCAGCCTGCGTGATGTGATCACACACACACACACGGCTACCGCACGTCAGCCATCCATGGCAACAAAAGCAAGCGTTTGGCTTTGAAGAACAGAACATTGAATGATCTCATTTGTCAAGACGCCGTTGTTCAGTTGTTGTGCATTGTAATCACTTTCTCTGCCCTGCTACTGTGTGCACATCCTCATGAGCCACAGCTATATTTAGCTGCACTGGTGTACGTAGTGTGTAGTGCTTGTCTCGGTGCCACCGAGCGACCTTAGCACGGATGGGATAATGAGCCACCTGGCCTACAGCTGGGCACAGGGAACCAGAAAGGACACAATGCCAGTGTGATGAGAACTGGCAGTCCTGGTGCAAATGGACTAAAGACCAAAGCCACCTGTACATTATCCACTGGAGATTGTGAAATTCACTTGCCAGGTTGCATTTATGGTGAATAGATGAAAACTGGATGCAAATTACATACAGACTTGTTGCTGGTTCATTTGTATAACTGTGCTTTAAAACCCTACTGAGTTGCCTACATAGACAGCATTTGTAGGCCAGTTGTAAACGGACAAATAATTTGAGTAGGTTCAAGTTGGATGTTCAAACACACCTGTGATGATCAGCAATACCGTGTAGCTTCCTTTCATTACCATTCCAAATGTTTCTAATGTTTTTGAAAGAAGTCTCTTATGCTCACCAAGGCTGCATTTATTTGATTAAAAATACAGTAAAAACAATATTATTCTGAAATATCATTAAAAATGGAAATAACTGTTTTCTATTTTAATATTTTAAAATGTAATTTATTCCTGTGATGCAAAGCTGAATTTTCAGCATCATTACTCCAGTGTGACAGTGTCACATGATTTTTATTATTCTAATATGCTGATTTGCTGCCTGAAAAAGATTTCTTATTTTTTATCAATGTTGAAAACGTCTGTGCTGCTTAATATTTTTCATTACTCTTTAAAAGTTTAAAGGAACATAATTTATTTGAAATTATTAAAAATATTTTCCAACATTAATATAAATGTCTTTCACTTAATGCCAATTTAATGCATCCTTGCTGAATAGTATTAAATTATGATACTATGTTCAATAAAAATCTATCTTACTGATCCCAAACGGTAATGTATGTGACTATGATGTCTAGAAATGCATGGCACAGTAGGTTGGATTTTTACTTTTAATGCTTACCCTTTAAAAATGACTACATTTTTAAATAAATATTACAATACTGTAGTAATTTATAAGATAAATTATATATATATATATATATATATATAGGGTTAGGTTAGGGTTATAATACTTTGTAGTTTTAATTTTAAAGATATGCATGTGATGCCTGAAAATGCTGTTTAGATTAAATTGTGTCTATATGAATGCACATTTGATGCCCAGCAAAACTGCGCAAGTTTATTTTGTACATTCTAATGCATGTATGATGCCCAAAAATTGCAGTTCAGGCTTGCAGCTTAGTAGGTTTTGAAATGCAGCCAATAATATACAGTATAAGGTCATGACCAGACGCTTGCTTAGAGTTGCAGTCAGAGATTTATTGGATTTTAACTTTAAAATATTGAGATGGATGTTACCACAGACAGTCCCTATTACTCCATATGACTACTGATAAATTAATGACAGTCTTGTTTGGCATTTTTGGACATTCCCAATCTTTCATCCTCTCACATATGTGGCCCAAAAATCTCTGGTTCCTTCTTTTCATGTTCCCTCCTCCATTCAAACCCAAACAAGAGTTGTTTTGCTTTCTGACAACACTATATCCCTATTCTCTGTCATTTTTTTTTTTACTTGAGACTTGAGAGAACATTATTGAATGATAGCAAGAAAATACCTTGAACTTATATGTCAGCTGTGGATTTATTCGTACAGCCATAACTGACTCACTTTGGTTATAGAATATGTTTGTCACAGTTTTTCATAACCAAACAGAAGTGTGTTTAACTGCTTTGTGAAATAAGAGTTAGACTGCCCTTGACTCATTCTGGATTTTAGAGATATAGAGCAAGTATAATGAGAGGCAAATTTTGGTGTCATTACATTATCACTGAATGATTGGATCAGTCTAAATTGACATTTGCTCATAATGAACGGACAAGATAAAACCGTGGCTCATACATTCAAGCAGATATACCTTTCAGGAAACACAAAGGCCTCTTGATTTGCTAATCGTTTCTCTTTCTGTACGCTAATACTGTAATACTTCACATGTAAGAAATATAATATAAAGAATGTGCATTTAATTATTTATTTAGTTTTTTGAGCCGGTGTCTGCTGGACAAATTCATTCTAAATGTGCAGGTAATTTCTTAGTATGATTTTGTATTCATTATTTTATACATTTTATTTAATTTTTATTATTTATTATTTAAAGGCCCTTAAGATTTTGTCCTTTTTCTAGTTAAGAAAGGTTGTAAATTATAAATGTGTGTATAGTTTAAAATTTAATTTTTTCAACGTTTATAGGTATGCAATAGATGACCTCTACAAAAATGTCATGTTGGTTGCATATTTCTTTAAATATTGTATCTCTTTTTATCATGCTGTCAGTTACGAATAGCACTGTAGTACTTTGAACTCTGAAGTTTCTTTTCCCCACAATCAGTGCAGAAAAAGTGAAAAATAGCTGTATAAAAATAGAAATACTCAGTATGCTGCCTCCAGTTAAGTACTCTGACTCATGTCTCTCATCTTTGCAGTCTGGTGGACGACCGCTGCGTGGTGCAACCAGAATCTGGGGACCTAAACAACCCTCCTAAGAAATTTCGAGGTAAGGCTACATTTATGTCTCTCTGGAGGTGTTATACGGAAATGTTTTAGAGATTTCTGTTGAAGATGTGCTAAACTTACCCTTATTGCCGTAAGGAATTTTTGTGTGATATCTACTTGATCAGTGTTGTTATGGTATTTCCCTGTTGTGTGACTGTAGAGAGATATCTTTTGTTTCACGTTTGCTTTTCTCAACACTATCGGTTGGGTTAGGTTTTAGTGTAGGTGCTACAATCACTGGACATTTCATTTCCCAACGTTCTGTGATATGTACAACAACCAACACAATAAAACACTTCCAGATTTATATTAATCTGTTTTGGTTAAATCTGAATGTGCTTTTAGTGCAACTCCATAGGACATTTCACTTTGAAAGTGTTGCAAAAAGCAACATATCATTTTGTAGAAATGTCGCCACAGGCACGTTTTTTCCAATAAGCCTGGGTTGTGTTTTTTTCTTTGAAACCAAGCAAGGTAGTTGTCAAATAGGAGACCGCATGCAGGTGCTATAAGCATACATTGCCTGTGTAACACTTTTAAATGGTGCTATATAAAGGTGCTGTTGTATATTTGTGTTTCACTCGGATGGAAGATGTCTCACCCAATTTTGGCAAATAGAAAAGCCAAAGATAGTGTAGCGCAATAAAATGTGATGCATTTGCCTATTGAGAGAAAGCTCATAAAGTTTACTTCCAGGTATTACACACCTGTCTGTCATTTTTCGGTGAACTTGACCTTGATTAGCTGGTTCAGGTGTGCTTGATGGAGCTGGAAATAAAATTAATAGTAATGGAGCTCTTCAGGAGCAAGACTGAGCTTTGACTTTACCCTTTGTGTACTGGAAAGAAGACTGATTCTCTCCTTAAAGGTGAAACCTGTCAGATGTTAATGAACCTTGTCCTCTGGGCTGCTGTGTGGAAACTGAGCTTTAGGCATGCTGAGAGAAACCTCTGGGTCCCTTCTGCTCGTATATTGATCTTGTGACAGGCTGTCACGTTGTAGCATGACATGTTGTCTCACTCTTTTACCAGTTGGTGTGTATTGGGGTTGTGACGGTGAGGAAATTTTCCCACCGGTTAATCGACGTGTGACAACACCGGTAATACCGGTATCACCGCGGGGGCGGGGTGTTCCCTCTTTTCCTCGCTTTCCTTCGCTTTTAAATAGCTTGTAAAAGCGGTGTGCCCATTTTACTTTCACTTTAAAATAGCGGCAATTCGGAGTAAAGCAATTGTTCGTTTTTAGTTCGTTTGAATTTCCCTCTTTTTCTCGCTTTCCTCCGCTTTTAAATAGCTTGAAAGCGCCGTGCGCATTTTACTTTCACTTTTGAATTAGCGGCAGTTCGGCGTCAATTGCTTGAATGCAGCAACAAAATACAACGTCAAACTCACTTTAGCGTATATATAAAAAATAAAACTTTTATTAACAAAACAAATACAAATACACCATGCTATAGGGCAAGCTATGCCTAATATAAAATAACAAATAACTTGCATAAAGTTTAATAGGTATACAAAACTGGAAATAAGTAAACATGTATAGCTAATATATATCAAATAAACTGTTGCGGCTTAACACCGGTATCACCGTCAACACCGTCTATCGCGGCATGCCTAGTGTGCATATTTAGTGCATTATCTTCCCACCTGTGTCCAAGGTCTCAGTCAAGATGCAAAAGCTAGAGATGCTCAGATCAGGATTTTAGAGCTGATTACCGATTTCTGAAGTCCAGATTATAGGCCTGCATCTTTTGTCTTTAAAATGTGATTATGTTGTGTGTGTAGCTGAGAGATCCTGTCATAAAAATGTTAAATATAATATGTATTTATGATAAAATATATGGATACACATACAAAGTTACTTACTGTATATGTTACAGGCATCATCAGTTGGTATTTGGCTATTTTATATCCATTATGCATGTGCTTTAAATATGATGTTATAGCAATTATAACATTAACAATTTCATATAATCACCGCAAATGTCTCATAATATATGATTCCGAGGTCCTCGGCTACAGCTGATACTTGTTATATTTAAAAGGGAAAGTCTGAAGAAACTATAGAATTGTAGCTTGTTTCCCTTTGTCTAAACGATTGCATAGAACATACCTATCTGAGTGCCAAAAATGCCTTTTTCCTGAAGTCTGCAGTTTCTGAAATATGGTTGATTTAACACAGAAAGACTATATATACGTGATTGTTTCTGAAATCGTATTAGCTAAAACACAAGCATGCAAATAGGATTTGAAACGTGTGTCAACTGGTAACTTAACTGTCATTGCCAGCTGTTTGAGGCTTTGCCTGTGAGGCTGACACTGCTGCTCAATTCTGGCTGTTTAATATCTGCAGTCTTTGCCCATTATGTGACGTTGTTGTTGATGTTTTAACACGCTCGGCTTCACACTGTTGTATTACCATTTAAGTCCAACTGAGGTGCTTGAAGGCACATACTGTATGTAGAACCTTTTTTTCTTTGCAATCCTTGCATTTTTGAGGGCCGTTTATATTCTTCATAATTGCAATAAAACTGGCATTTGGCTTCAAGTCAGTGATACTTTCTGTCCAAGTCTGTCTTGCTACAGCATGAATCTGCTGAGGCCATGACGACATCCTCCTCTGAGAAACGAGACTTTCTGCATATTTGTCTTTTGAGGAATTTGAGAGAGCGATCAAATATTCTGCACTTCAGTGTCATTTTTTTCCCTCCTGAAGTCCATTTTGAACATTAGCCATGGCTTCTTGTATCAAAAACAGTTGTAATTTAGTTTGACATTTTTCCTCCTTTCTCTGACCCTTAAAATTAAACTGTCTATTTTTGCTACCGTGCCTTTAAAAACTAGTTCATCCAAGAATGAAAATGTATCATTTACTCCCCTTCATGTTGTATGTTCTAGCTGTTCTTTTTCTATGAAAGTGAATAGGGATATTAAGCTTGCAGAATGACAAAAAAAGCAACGTAACGATTCATGAATGTGGTCCATATGATGGTCAATGTATGTAGCCTGTTGTGTTTTTAAAAGATGTTTTTAATAAGTCTGCTTTTTTCATAAAAAAAATACAGTAAAAATGGTGAAATATTATTACAATTTAAAATAACATTCCTGTGATGCAAAGCTGAATTTTCAGCATCATAATCTCCAGTCTTCAGTGTCACATGATCTTTCAGAAATCATTCTAATATTCTGATTTTGTGATCAAGAAACATTTCTTCTTCTTCTTCTTCTTCTTCTTATTATTATTATTATTATCAGTGTTTTAAACAGTTGTGCTGCTGAATATTTTTGTGGAAACTGATTTTTTCCCCCACAATGTAAAAGTCTTTACTGTCACTTTTGATCATTTTAGTCCTTGCTCAATTAAGTATTTCTTCAAAAAAATAAATAAATGACCCTGAACGGACTATAGCAGGTCTGGTGCTGTCTCTGTCTGTGTCTGTCTCACACACACACTAATAAAACAGCAGGGGCTCCAGACCTCCAGAATGAAGCTTTTATGAATTCATTAAGCTTGTGAAATGATCTGATCACCTGGAATAGATTTATTTACCTAATTGAAGGTCACTGAATTGAAAATCGACCTTGTGTCAACGTATGAAGCTGAGTGTGTCAGTCAACCAGGGGCAGACTTACCCATTAGGCAAAGGTAGGCGACCGCCTTGGGCCCCCAAAAGCCAAGGGCCCCCTAAAATGCTTTTCATATAGGATATGCGCATTAAGCGCGGACACGCGAACAGTTGCTGTTTACGGTGTTTATTTCCACAACAACCGTCCGAGTCTGTGGCGCCTGCAGGTGTACGGCTGTACGCACTGCGAGTACCATGAGCGCTCAGACTGACCTGAGATTTGCCCCGCAAACATTTCAGCAGTTATTATAGGCCTGTGTGTCCTGTATTTCTGTCAACTGAACCCATGCCGTTAATTATGAATTTATCAGACTTTTGCATGCCAAAGTCAATTTCGGGCCCCATTCCTATATTTTGCCTGGGGCCCCCAATTCACTAAATCCGCCCCTGCAGTCAACTGGTGGCTATTTATATAGCTGGTGCTTTTGGTTTAGTCTTGTCATTTGTTTTTGTCTATTCATTAACTATGGCACATAACCAAATGTTTTTGCTGAAGGCTTAGTGTTATTTTGATTTCTAGAAGCAGCTATGGGATATTCCAAACAGCGGATCATTCACTCTGACACTCTGGTTGTTCATGAGGATAAGTGAATGTGGCAGATGGATGGGTCTTTGTCAGCTTGTTTTGTATGGCTGTGTGTGTTGGCGTTTGTTCTGGAGTTCATTGTGTGTATCTTAGCATATCCATGTGTGCCTGTATGCATATTTTTTCAGCTTCATTAAACCCAGATGGATGGGAAGCGGAATTGTCCATTACTATGGCTTCAGCTTGACTGACTTTGATGGACAGGTGTTGTGTTTTTATAGTGGCTGATGGATAAAGCTGAGAGTCAGACACCTCTAGTTAGCTGGATGGATAGTTGATTGCCTGTGTTTTATATCCTCAAAAACGTCAGGGAAGAGTCAAATATGTAGCTTTTAATGTTGGTTAATGCTACACTCTTTAAAAAAAAAAAAAAGAGTGCTTCACGATGCCATAGAAGAACCTTTTTGTCTAAATGGTTCCATAAAGAACCTTTAACATCTGAAGAACCTTTCTGAAACACAAAAGGTTCTTTGTGGCGAAAGAAGGTTCTTCAGATTATAAAAAGGTAAGAAAGAGATGGTTCTTTAAATAACCTTTGACTGAATGGTTCTTTGTGGAACCAAAAATGGTTCTTCTATGGCATCGCTGTGAACCTTTTAAGCACCATTTTTAAGAGTGTAGAAGATCAAAGGTTTCTTCTTATATTGAATACTCCAGAGATATTGCTCTTTAATAAACACAAATTTATTTAATGTTTTGAGATTTTTTACATTTATTTTATTTTATGAGATTTCATTTTATTTTATGAGATTTTGTTTATTAAAATATCCACATCGTTTTTGTTATGTGG